AGTGCGGTGCTAGGCATACGGTACAGGGAGGGTATCGGAGAGGTTAGGTGACCCAGGATGCGTGGGTATGGGGTGCTGGGGGGAAACAAGGTGACTGTGGATGGTGAGATGGGAGGAGATGTCTAGGGAGTGCGTCTGCATGCAGGAATATGGGTGGATATAGAGAGGTGTATGTGGGGGGTACCCTGGATGTTGAGGAATGGGGTACTATGAGGGAAGTGTGGTTTATGCGCTGCCTTATGCGGGGTTGTAGGGTGGGTGTATTGGGGTTGTACCTGAGGGTGGTCCCGGAGCACGGGGAGGTGCAGCGGGTGCAGGGTTGGCAGGGGAAATGCAGAGCTGCAGGACTGTTAGCTGTGCGGGGCACCCTGCGTAGGGGTATGCAGGTACATAGGGGTGCCTGGGAAAAGTGGAGTGTCTTGGGGATGTCCTGGGTGAAAATAGATTTTTTTTGTTTTTTGGTTGTGGGTTGTTTCTTTTTTTTAAGCACCCTGCACAGGAGTGTGGGGGTTACATGGGGGTACTGGGGGAGTATGGGGAAGATGGGTACATAGGATGCATTCGTATGGAGCACCCTGTGCAGGGATATAGAGGAGCTATAGGAGGGTGACCTGGGGATGGATGTGCTTTTGGGGAGCACCTCTGTATGGGGTGGTGCATAGGGGGGCCAGGGAGGGGAGCATATATGGGGGCAAAGTTTTTCCCTGTAAAGGCTGCCCTGCAGAAGGGTGTGGGTGTCTGCAGGGATCCCCTGAGGAGGACGGAGCACACTGCACTCGGGAAGAGATGTGGATAGGGTGCTTTGGAGAGGCACAGGGTAAATTGGGGTACAGCAGCCAGATGGGGAGAGGCATGAGGTGTGTCTGTATGGGATGTATTCTGAGGTGCACGCTTAGAGTGTGGCGTTCCTTGGTGGGCTGCATGTAGAATCGACAGGGCTGCAGGTGCCCAGGTGGGTACACAGCATGTTTGGGGATGGGGCCCATGCTGGGGTGGCAGGCCCACATCCACATGGCTCCCCGCAGCCCCATCCTCAAGCTCTCCTGGTGTTACTGGGGCCTTGCTGGTGACCCTGGAGCTGGTGTCAGGGTGCGCAGAGGACTGGGAGGGTTCATGTCCTTCACTTCCCTGCCTCTCCTCCCAGTCGCCGTGTCGGTGCCAAAGAAGAAACGAAGGATGAAGGAGCTGAATAAGAAGGAGGCAGTAGGCGATTTGCTGGATGCCTTTAAAGAGGTGAGTGTCCCAAGGGTGTTGGGGGATCGCCCTGTGTCCTGTCTCCTCCTGTGATGAACTCTGCTTTGTGCCATCGTGTCTGGGCCACTGATGCTCTGTGATGGTAATGAGGATCTGAGGGGGGAGCGGATGCCTGGGTGCGGGATGGAGGGGACAGGACCAGGCTTGCGGGGTGACTGTGGTCTCCATCCCTCCTGATGCAGTCTCAGATCAGTGACAGTGCCTCAGAGACGGAGAACAAGCCCCCCGCATCCACCCCTGTCCGTGAAGTGGAGGACGCGGCCCCCGCCCGTCCACAGGAAGAGTCAGAGGAGACATGGGAGGAGAAGGAGGACAAGCTGGCCCCAGAGAAGGGCACGGCTGCTGACCAGAAGTACCGCTACAAGGAAGGTGAGCCGTGCCTTGGCCCAGGCCTCTGCTGGGAACCACCACCTCTGGACCCAGCGATGTGGAGGGTGGGGGTGGCATGGTCCAGCTATCCTAAACCTCACGATCTTCTCCCATCTTATCCCCAAGCCTGGCATGGGGTAGGGGACAGAGGCCCCAGCGTGAAGGTCCTGGCAAGAGGCAGGGAGCTGGTGGCATCAGGCTTTCTGTCTAAGCAAGCAATATCGTGCTCATGGCGTACCGGGCAGGGGCACCTCTGTGGTTGTCTGCATCCCACTTTGCTGATCACTGGGTGGGCCCGGACCTGCCACAGCTCGGGGTGGAGGATATGGGACAGGCCACATCAGGGTCTCCCTTCTGCCCTCCACTGCAGAGCAATGGAAGCCGCTGAACCCCGAGGAGAAGAAGCGATATGATCGGGAGTTCCTGCTGGGCTTCCAGTTCATCTTCGCCAGCATGCAGAAACCTGAGGGGCTGCCTCAGATCACGGACGTGGTACTGGACAAGGTCGGTGCGGCCCTGGAAATTGGGGTAGTGTGGGTGGTGCCCAGGAGGGGGTCTGGCTCCTCTTTGTGCCTTGTCAAGGCAGGGCAGGGACTTGCTGAGCTTGGGGTCCTGTTGCAGCATCTGCAACAAGCCTTGAGCCTGGGGTTGGTGCATGGGGGCACCTCTGGGGCCTTCTTTCCAGTTCCTTGTCCCGGCCTGAGGCTGGGGGATGGATCCGTCCCGCTCCTCTGCCCCCGGGCATCCTCAGCCCTGTGTACCTTCGCAGGCCAACAAGACCCCACTGCGGGCACTCGACCCCGTCCGTCTCAGTGGCATGAACTGCAGCCCTGACTTCACCCCCTCCTTCGCCAACCTCGGCCGGCCCGTCATGGGCAACCGGGGCCTGGTGAGTATCTCCTTACTTCATCCATGCCATTCCCCTCTGCCTCTCTGTGATGGTCAAGCCTTCGAGCCGCTGTGTCTGGGCCACTGATGTCCGTGATGGAGCTGAGGATCTGAGCAGGTGGATGGGACCACCCTGGGAACCAGTCCCGCTGGTCCCAGAGCAAAGAGCTGAATTTCTTTTCCCCATGTCAGCCCTCAGGATTGGGTCCCCGCCGCTCCCAGCAGAGCCAAAGGAAGGAACCCCGCAAAATCATTGCCACTGTGTCCCTCAACGAGGATGTCAAGCTGAACAAGGCCGAGAAGGCCTGGAAACCCAGCAGCAAGCGTGCCTCTGAGGAGGAGGATCCTGAGAACATCAAGACGCAGGTGGGAGCTGGGGCAGGTGGGCGGTGGGAAGGCAGGATGGGACGTGCCTGGCTCTTGCTGACCCTGTTGTCCTTGCAGGAACTGCTCCGCCGCGTCCGCAGCATCCTCAACAAGCTGACGCCCCAGATGTTCCAGCAACTGATGAAGCAGGTGATGGAGTTGTCCATCGACACGGAGGAGCGGCTCAAGGGTGTCATTGACCTCGTCTTCGAGAAGGCCATCTCGGAGCCAAACTTCTCTGTTGCCTATGCTAACATGTGCCGTTGCCTTATGGGGGTGAGCAGGAGCTGGGGGGGGGTCTTCTGCTGAGCTGGCAAGGGTTTGTTCGGGGGCTTTGGCTGAACTCAACAGGGTGCAGGTCCTTCCATGTGCGGTGGGGAAACTGGGACATGTGGATGGAGGACCAAATCCAGAGTCTTAGCAGGGCATCATGAGGGTGTAGGGTGGCTTTTCGCTGGTTTGAGCAGTGCCTGGGCCTTAGCTGGCCAGCTTTTGCGGGAGGCACGATTCATGCTCTTTGCCTGGGCTTTACCTCTCCCTGCAGCTCAAAGTGCCCACAACAGACAAGCCCACGGTGACTGTGAACTTCCGCAAGCTGCTGCTCAACCGCTGCCAGAAGGAGTTTGAGAAGGATAAGGACGATGATGAGATCTTTGAGAAGCGGCAGAAGGAGATGGACGATGCCAGTGCTGTGAGTTGGGGTGGGAGGCTGCGGCTGAGGGCTGGCATGCGTGTCCCTGGTGCAGCTCTGGGCTCTGAGCTGTCTTGCTGTGCCCTCCCTGCAGCCCGAGGAGAAGGCGCGCATGAAGGATGAGCTGGAGGAGGCGCGGGACAAGGCGCGCCGACGATCCCTGGGTAACATCAAGTTCATTGGAGAGCTCTTCAAGCTGAAGATGTTGACGGAGGCCATCATGCATGACTGCGTGGTGAAGCTGCTCAAAAACCATGATGAGGAGTCTCTTGAGTGCCTTTGCCGCCTGCTTACCACCATTGGCAAGGACTTGGACTTTGAGAAGGCCAAGGTACCGCTTTCACTGCCCTGTCTTGCCTTGCCCTGCCTTGCCTTTGGGAGGGATGCGACTGTGACTCTGTCCCTCTGTAGCCCAGAATGGACCAGTACTTCAATCAGATGGAGAAGATCATCAAAGAGAAGAAGACGTCATCCCGCATCCGTTTCATGCTGCAGGATGTGATTGACCTCAGACGGGTAAGGCGCGTGGCCTGCTATTGCCTGTGCAGTTCTCTGTCCCCTGCTTGGTCCCGTGGAGCTGCTGGCCTGTGTACTCTGAGTGCCAGCAGTCCGAGCGTCCCTGGGATGGCCGAGGTGGGGATGTAAGCTATGGCCATCCCCAGAGGCTCCATGCTAGCCCCCAGCCCTTGGTTAGCATGGTACTGGGCACACAGTAACAGCAGCTGTTTAATGCAGGGGAGCTCCAAAAACTGAGCCCTTTTGTGCCAAAAGCTGCCACAGCACACAGGGAACTGTGATGGCTGAGGCAGGAGACCGACCTGAGGCTTTAAGGGTGGCATGGCTCGGAAGGGGGAGTATCTCTGCCTCTATCCTCCAACCAGCTCAGTGCCTTCTTCCCTCCTTCCCTGCCCTCTGCAGAATAGCTGGGTGCCGCGGCGAGGAGACCAGGGTCCCAAAACCATCGACCAGATCCACAAGGAAGCAGAGATGGAGGAGCATCGGGAACACATCAAAGTGCAGCAGCTCATGTCAAAAGACAAGAGGAGAGGACCCCCCGGGCCGTCCTCCAGCAGTGAGTGCCTGGGCTTGGGAGCATCTGAGGCTGCCAAGGGTGGGTGGCTCCCGCTGGGCACTGTTCGAAGCCAGGCTGCACCTTATGTCTGTCCCCCTTGTGCCCAGGTGGGCGTGGGAGCCTGGTCGCAGATGA